CCTCCCTCCTCTAGAGCCTCTAACCCTCCAACTGCTCCCAAAAGTTTTCTTTTTTGGGGGGTCGTCTGGGCTGTGGTTAGAGGGGTAATTCTGTTCTTGTGATGCCACACGTTTTTTACAGGACTTCTTCTGTACTGATTCCCCTCTTCTCTTTCGAAAAAATCTTTTTGTGATGTTCTCGAGCTATTCCTTTACAAAATCTGTCCTTAAGGGTTTTCTTTGCTACATTTTCATGTTCTACTCTTTTAGATTGGACCGGAGTGTTATATAATGGTTTTAAAGGTTTCTCGAACTTCCTTTTATTAAGGTTTCCAAATGTCTATTTTTCTGACATAAAATTTACCTTTTTATTTAAAGGGACACTATAGTCACCCAGACCACTTCAGCTCAATGAAGTGGTCTGGGTCCCAGGTCCCTCAGGTTTTAACCCTTCAGATGCAAACATAGCAGTTTCAGAGAAAGTGTTATGTTTACATTTGGGGTTAATCCAGACCTTGGGGTTAATCCAGCCTCTAGTGGCAGCAGAGGGACTCCCTGGGATGCCAGGTGTGTTCCCCCATGGTGATCGCCGGCGAGCAGGTAAGTACCCTGGACGGCGTGGATGTGCTATTTAGAGCTGGGTCCCAAAGGACGGCATAGCACGCCCGCTGTTCTTAAAGGGTTAAATTAGAGGGGCAAAGGTTTAAAAATAATATCAGGAAGTATTACTTTGCTGAGGGGGTAGTAGATGCATGGAATAGCCTGGTAGAGCTTTTGAAGTGGTAGAGGTTAACACAGTGAAGTAGTTTAAGCATGCGTGGGATAGGCATAAGGCTATCCTAGCTATAAGATAAGGCCAAGGACTAATGAAAGTATTTAGAAAATTGGGCAGACTAGATGGGCCGAATGGTTCTTATCTGCCGTCACATTCTATGTTTCTATGTTTCTATGTAACTGAGCGCATAAATAAACTAGTTTCTTCCCAGTTATCCTGTGATAATCTAATTGTGGGAGAGATGTATTGGATAACAACGCTTGGAACCCTTTGGCTAATCATGTTGTAAATATAAAGCATAGATATTAACAAGAACTTATTTGCCTTTTTTGGTGCATGCACACAGTATGTGAGTATGTATAAATGACTATATACACACCCTCGTACACAACAATAATTGAGAATGTTTTTGGAGTCAAATTGCTGGGGTTATTCACACAAGTATGAATTGTTGGGATTTTAAACTTTAAGCCAAAATAGCTAAAATGACAACATTCTACAAATGAGTTGTTTTCAGTTTTACTATTTTGGCCCTAAATTTGAAACAGACTTTCAGACTTAAACACTAAAGTGAAAATTGTCAGGAATTCAAAGTGAATTTCAAAATTTAGGCCAAAATAGCCGATTTAGAAAAATCCGCCAATATAATTCAGTGTTCAGTTTGGCTATTTTTGCCTTACATTTGAAATCCACTTTGAATTTCCTTTAAATTTCCATCAATTTGCACATTAGTGAATAACCCTGTTTGAGTTCATTAGAAATTCCAACAATAAACACTATATTGAATATTTGTGATAGGTGTATAGCACAATTGGCATATCACAGTCCCGGGGATGACCAGTCAGAGTTAGCTATCACTTCTTTTAAATTTAATCTCTAAAATATTTTAATAAAACTGTCTTAGAATAAAATTGTCGAAAAACTGAAAGATATGTGTTTTCTTTACAAAACTTAGATTTCCATAACTGTAAACAAGTTTGCATCTAAACGAAAAGGAAATCTAAACAGTGTGAGTTTATGTAATCATTGTTAAATGTTCTGGATACATTCAGTATACTTTTAAATATTTACTGCAGACATGTTTATATTTTTTTAATATCTTTATTGAAGAAAGGATGGTATCAGGTATAACAATAGAATAGAATGTTGTGACAATTTGGGGAATAAAAAACAGAAAAGTTAAATTAAATAGTGATTTAGAATATGACACTAATATAATGGGAACAATTTAATGGTTATTTTTCAGGTTAATAAAACAATGTTTGCAACTTGTTTTATTTGTCCAAATACTGAATTAAACCTATCAGTGTCATTTGTCTAAATGGTAGTATTAGTATGGCCCGGATAACAGAGGGAAATAATGTATTAAAAATTTGATGCAGGATTTGGGAATCTAAAAGTGTGTATTGTCCATAATAATATATTTAGTCACTTCGTATTTAGTAGATCTGTAAATTCAAGGCTTTGTTTCTTGGCACAGTCTGATCTCTAGCTGGTTATGCTAAACAGAGAAATACAATAGCTTCTCTTTCTTTAACATTTCAAAGATCATCCACTGTCTCCCTGTAAGGATATAGAAAAAGAAAACATTTCAGAGATAAAATAATACATATATATATACGTTACATATAACATATATATCTACAAAACCACAAACTTCGACTCCTTTCCTAAGAAACCCCACATTGTGGCGTTTCATTCTCTGCCCACTTAACCTCAGTTAATTCAGTTTGCATTTAATTATCATATTATTTGTAATAAAATGAAAGAAATAGCTAAACCAAATAAAGAAATCAAAATAAAGTGAAGACAGAAATAAAACTGAAGTTTAACCCCTTAAGGACTGGACTGTTTTTGCGATGTTGTACATTTGCGACCAGGCCTCTTTTTACACTTTTGTGGTGTTTGTGTTTAGCTGTAATTTTCCGCTTTCTCATTTATTGTTCCTATACAAATTATATATTGTTTTTTTCAGAACAAAAAGGGCTTTCTTTACATACCATTATTTAAATAATCTCATGTAATTTAATTTTTTAAAAATAAAAAAAATGATGAAAAATTGAAATAAAACAAAAAACTGTTAAATAGATTTAAAAAGTTGTCCTGAGTTTAAAAATACCCAGTGTTTACATGCTTTCTTTTGCAAGTTATAGTGCTATATGTACAAGTAGGATATTGCGGTTTCAAAACATACATTTTTAAAATTTATCAATAGTGACATTGTAACACTATTATCTGTCATAAATCTCTTAATAACACACCATGTACATATTTTTTTTAAAGTAGACAACCCAGGGTATTCAATATGGGGTATGTCCAGTCTTTTTTAGTAGCCACTTAGTCGCAAACACAGGCCAAAGTTAGTGTTCATATTTGTTTGTGTATGAAAAAAGTAAAAAAACTAAATTGAACGCTAATTTTGGCCAGTGTTTGTGACTAAGTGGCTACTAAAAAGGACTGGACATACCCCATTTGCAATACCTTGGGTTGTCTTCTTTTGAAAATGGTATGCCATCATGGGGGTAATTCTCATTCCTGGGTTACCATATGCGCTCAAAGGCAACGTAACCAATCTGGCCATTTTCAATGTAAAAATATTTGACCCATATAGTTGACCCTTTCAACTTTCAAAAACGCTATAAAACCTGTACATGGGGGGTACTGTTATACTCGGGAGACGTTGCTAAACACAAAGATTAGTGTTTCAAAACAGGAAAACCTATCAAAAAAATTATATAATCAGTAAAAGTGCTGTCTGTGTGTGAAAAATGCAAAAAAGTCACTTTCACTGACAATATCATTGCTGTGATATGTTTTACTGTTTTGAATCACTAATATTTGTGATATTAGAAGTCTCCCGAGTAAAACAGTACACCCCATGTACAGGTTTTAGGGTGTCATAGAAAGTTACATGGTAAAATACAGTGCTAGCAAATTAAATTCTCTGGACTTTCGGCCTGGGTTGGCAGACAGGTCCCTCAAATTGTAATCAATAAAATTACTTAATTATGTAAAAATATTACATAAATACACACGTAGAATTTAAATATATATGCATATTTATATATTTGAAGTCTATGTGTATATTTATAAAATTATTTATGTGATTTTGTATATGGACATATGTATATTTTGTATTATTTTTATTTATTTATTTATATATACATAGATATATATATAATTTCATTCTAAGTGTATTTTGATATAAATATATACATATTAATATCAAAATACTGTTAGAATAAAATTTCATATAGATATATAATTTTTTTTAAAAAAAATTATTATTTTTACATGTTTTTATTTAATTTAAATTACTTATTTGTATTTTATAATAATATATATATACAATATATATAGTTATTATATATATTATATATACGTGTGTAATTTAATTATAAGTGTATTTTTATATTAATATATGTACATATTAATATTAAAATATACTTAGTATGACATTATATATATGATATATAGTGATCACATGGCCCCAGGGGTCCTAATCCGCCATGGGGAGACTGTCTGGGCTGCAGGCAGTCTCCCCACACTTCGAGCAGCGCCGATCGCCGCCGGGGGAACAATGGCGATCGGGTAAGTACTTAACACCGTTAGAACGGTTCAGGACAGTCTGCGGTCGGCAACGCTAAAATGCCGATGAGGGTCCTGAACCGTCCTTGGTCCTGAAGGGGTTAAAAAAAAGAGATCTTGAAAACTTCTGTTACATAAAAAATATAATAATAATAATAATGTCTGTCTACATACCTTTCAGTTACTCTGTCTTGGATGGACTTCTGCATCTGATTTTTCTGGAGTGGGTTTTCTGATTTCCAGCA